AAACAACTAGCTAGCTATAACCTCCAGATACCTACATAAGTAAAACAAAAAGGGTCATCACATTGGACTCCAGTATTCCAGGAGAGAGCCGGATAAGTAAGTTCCGACTGAAGGTCATTCCAAATGGAAAAAAAGAAAAAAGAAAAAGAAAAGGATGTATATATATCCAAAACGGAAATTGAATGACTAAGAATCTTCGACAGTTCCCGATGAGAGGGAGAACTTGGTCAAACTAGAATAGAACTCGGTAATATTATATCAAGCTTAACTGATGCGAAAATACAAAACTAAAGCCATTTAAACATGAGAAACGGAAGACGATGTTCACATTCAAGATAAAGTTGCATAAAGAAGCTATATATACCCAATTGGGTGAAATCTTTGATCACCTTCCTACAGGTGCCACAAAATAAGACAAAAATGTTGAAAAAGAAATCACGTATTTCAGAAAAACTGAGATGAAGTGAAAGTAGGATAAGTAACTGCTTTTTTGAAAATAATAATGATGCAAATCTTCCGGTGCACATTAGCATTTCCAATCATTTTACTACTTACCACTTCACACAAGAAAGCAACATCAACGCTTAAAAAAATGCCGGCGTGCAATCAACTCCTGCATTCCCAAAGCAGATATGTTTTGACACCCTAAAAGCTCCTGAAGCTTTGCATCACAATGAATCGTCATTGAATTCAGAGGATCCTATACAAGACAAACCAGATAAGGAAGATTTTGAAATGCAGATGACATGTCCCAACTTATAATCAGCACCCAGCACACAAGAATATAGAGCTTCGCAAGGGTACACAAGCGCAAATGTCGCAGCATCCTATAGTTTTTATTCTAATAGGAGATTCAACGTGAAGTCAGGAATTTGACCTGCATTCTCACATATTTTTGAAACAGTTCACTGAGTATGGATGGGTGAAGCCCACAAATTGAAGAAACTTCTATTTAAGGACGAAACGCAAGTACATTTACCAAATCAAATATAATCGCTATAATATAATAAATAAAAGGGAGTGAACACACTGTGACTTGGCAAGAGACACGTATCAAATAATAAAAAATTTAAATAATGACCTGGGTAACAAGTTACAGCTGCCAACTAGACGACGCCATAAAACAAGCAAACATGCATTGCCTTGGCAGGAGACACATATCAAACAACAAAAAATTGAAATCATGACAAGTATCAATTAATGAAATCCTTGAAATCATGACCTAGTTCGTAACAAGTCACAGCTGCCCACACCATTTTTTCAATTTACAAGCAAGTTCCTTTATTTATAAATAATCACGACCAAGTTTGTAACAAGTTACAGCTGCCTACATCACTTTTTAAATTTACAAGCAAGCACTTTTATATATATATCTACTTGTGCCTGCGTTACTCAAGAAATGAAGAGTTCCATTAAATACAAAGAAAAATATACTTATCTAAGATACATAATTTGCTAAACTGTTACATCATTAAACAATTTTATATACAATACTTTCATCACTTAGTAGCCACATTTAAAATATTTGTTTGTAAAGTATTTTGACCATCAATAATAAAGTAAAGAATTTATTTCGTCTAATGCTTGAAGAACTAAAATAGACATGCTAAAATGGAAGGCAACATAAACAAAAGAAATATCAAAAAAGGCCATCAAGATTTTGAAATATGAAACAAAAGTCAACCAGTAGGCTTACAAAAACCAAGCCTTCACAGTGTGTGCACGTGAGTTCATCGTGCATTACTATTTTGATATTATCAATGAATTGTATAATGTGGGGCGGCTTAATTTTGTAAATATGTACTTTTGAGTAATTATGACGACTACTTAATTAATCCCACCTCAAGCTGATTAACCTTTATGTAATCCCAAACACGTCCCAGTGCCACAGATTGAAGCATCTCCCTTTCTCCAGTGCCAAAAAATTTTACAAGTGAATCTGATATTAACACAGGAGGAGGACTGCATTCCGTACTTCCCTGTTCAGGATAATCTTCAACCTTTGGTTTCTTAGCTTGACCAGATTCTTCTGCAAATTTTTTATTTGCACACAACAATAACGAATAAGGAAAGACCATCACAGGAAAACCATATATGTCAAATTTGCTCTCGTGCTCATTATACATACTTGTTGGATCAAGTGCCATAATATGTTTTGCAAGCAGCTTATTCATCTTGAACATGTCTGTGCAGTCCGTTTCAAAAACCAATCGCAAGGCATCGTCACAGATAATCTTTCTCTTGTTACCTGGATCCTGAAGGTTGTGCTTTCTGATGTATGCCCATAGCTGCTTCACAATCTGAATTACAGACAACAGTCTACTTTAGTATTCTGTACGATTAGCACTGGTACTGGATAAAATAAACAATGAATGTACATAATGATCCTGAAAAGAGGAAAACTGTTTGCTCTGGTGATCCAAACCTCTGTCCTCGACAATGCTGGCTCCCCAACAATGGCCTGTAGTTCAGGTGAAACGCCACATAATTTGTTTAGACCACCTGGACCGCCTCTTCTTTTGGTTCCAGCTGGAGCGCTGAAATAAAACGGTAAGTGAAACAAATCATTTGTCTCGTTTGGTTGTATAGAACAATCAGGTTTATTCTTCTTCAGTTGCCATAGAAAGTGGCAACATCAGAGCACTGGAGCTTAAACAAAACATTAACAGAAACTTTGCACAAGTGGAAGGCACCCTCACCTACTGTTTTCAGACTTCCAAACAAAAAAATAAATAAATAACACTTGTTGGATAGGAATCATATTAATTCCTGCAGTTGTGTTCTGAAAAGAAAGTAATAATTGTCAAGAATAAAAATGATAACTTCAAGCATGAAGGTAATACATTTTAACAGTAAAATATCTTTCCACTCAAAGTAATGAGACTGTTAATATTCATCTAGATTATTAAATGCATTGGGTTTCTATCCAATTTATTATTAGATCAGGAGTTATGTACAAAGCATAATGAATTAGTGACAGCAGTATAAAAAAATAAACTATCAGCATTTGACCATTTACAATGATAACATACAAAAGCACCCCAACTAAACAGGAACACACGGGCGTGCATTGTGCATGTGAGGATTTGTGTTTACTTGCCATTTTGCTTTCCCTTTATCTCTTTGAGAGAGATTGTGTGCGTGCATGTGTTGGGATTGAGTGGGGATGTTAGACAAGTTAATTTGGTAGATAATGTATTTATATTCAAATATTTTTGTAAACTTAGTACCACTCAAACTAGATAGGTGAACAGTGTTCTAAAATGAAAAATTCTTCATTTCTTTCTTTGGTATCCCCAACAAAAATTCTCATACAAAATGGGTGTAAATCCAAAAACAGATAGGCACTGAGACGATACAGAAAAGTGAAAGACTAGTAAGGCCTTGATAAAAACAACATTTCATCCATTTTGATCTGAAAAACAGCTGAGCATTCATAACTAAATGGATGAAGCTTGATGTTTCCAAGTCAACTTAACAAAGGGAGAACTTGTTAAGGAAAGCCACCAGCAATATCCCTTCCAAAAACATTAACAACCATATAAAATGTAACTTTCTAAATCCTATTCCATAAATCTGCCATTAGATTGTCTTGATTAAAAGTTATTGATAATCTACAAATCTACGTAGGATGAATAATGATTTCAACTCACAATGGCACAAAAATGCAATAAACCTTTTGCTTTAAATCGAACATTGCTGCAGCAGAGATGTGTGCTTTATAGAAATAAATTAGAAACTGCTTCTCATTTCATTATTCAGTTAACGTAAAATCATAAAAGAACAAGTGTATCTTCACAATCAAAAAGAGAAATCAATAAATGATGAATTAAAGATCGTAATCATCAGTTCTTAACAAATTACAATCAGATTTACACCAAAGGAACAAAAATGGCACTGTCAAACAATCACCAAGAAATCTTACCTATTCAAATCCCTGCTCACTTTAACTATACCAGAGAAAATGGATAACCATAATAAATGAAACTCGACGGTCTAAAACCCTGGAAACCGCAACAAAAGCTTTTTAACGACGCCACTTCAGTTTTTTATCAAAACCGAAACAATAACTAACCCCAAATAACACCCCCGCTAACGGCCAAGACCTTGTTTACAAAATCAAATTGGGCGAAAACACACCTTCCTTTTGGTGTTCCAGAAGGCTTTGCCACTACATTCTGAGTGTCAGCTCCAGTTTTTGCCACAGTTAGCGGCGGCGGAGGTGGACGGGGTTGCACTTGAGGCTGTATCGGCGGAGGGGAGGGGTTGTGCTGTTGGTGGAGCTCCTGCTGGAAGACGACATGGGGATGGATAAATTGTTGAGGAGGCTGGCTACAGTCTGGGTATTGAGTGTGGAATTCAGAGGCAAAATGTTCTTTCGGCACGGGTTCCGACCGAAGGAGGAAGCTAATCTGGTCCCTGATGAAGCCGGCTTTGTGGGACAGGTCTAACCCTAGCTTGGCTTCCAGCTGTTGAACGACACCGTTTAGAGAAGTAACGGCGTTAGGGTCTGACTGACGGAGCAGAGTTTCCACTTCTTTCGCAATCTCTTGGTCCGTCACCATTGTTGTGGTTTTGCCTTCATAAATTATTAACTGAAATTAACTGATTCAAAATGGACCTTCCCTCTCTCTTCTTCCACCTCTCTCTCTCGCTCTCTCTTCAGAAGAGTCTCTGAGGATCAGTGAGGGTAAATTTGTAATTGAAATGCTGGAGGTCCCCTCTTGCCTTCTTGAAAAGTCACATCGTACTTTTTTTATAAATAAATTACATTTTAATTAGATTAAAGATCGTTGACCTTTATTTATTATCTTACTTATATTTTTAACTTTTTTCTTCATCACCTACTTATTTTTTTACCTTTCATTAAAATTGTCTTTAATGAATTTTGTTAAGATACTTTAAAATAAGGATCAAACAATTTAATCGCATTTTTGAATTATTATTATTTACTTTACTTATTTAAAAATATAATGGACAAAGGGTTAATTTCACAAATAGAAGGATCAAACAATTTAATCGCATTTTTGAATTATTATTATTATTTACTTTACTTATTTAAAAATATAATGGACAAGAGATTAATTTCACAAACGGTCACTGAACTGAACACAACCGAAAGTCTCAAAACGATCATTGAAGTTTAAAACTTGCAGCAACGGTTACTGAACTGACGGGCACTTTCACTAATGGTCACTGATGGACCAAAACACGTGAATTGGATCCTCGAGGACCTCAAGTGTAAATTTTATCTAATTTCATTTGCTCAAAATTTGCCCTTGAAATTTAGAAATCAAGCCAAATTCCTCCCACTTTCATCATATTTCGTTGGAGTCGGAATTTGCCAAATTCGACCACCATACCGTCGAATAAACCACCTAATTTTTACACCACCAACACCTCCTCATCCCCCTCCACAATCCTATACCAATAATCAACCAAAACACATCAAAAATCACATGAAATTCAGAATTTAAACAACCATCCCCACCCATGGTTTTAGCTCCAATTCCGGCCAATTTGAGATAAATTGGTGAGGACCCATATGTGCATCTTGTTCGCCATGATGAGTAGAAGGTAATGGTTGTGGTGGGTGACCGTAATTGTTGACGCTGGCTCCGAAAATTAGGGAGGAAAGTTCGTTGTCGTTGCCTTCGAACTAGTATGGGTTAGATTTTGATTTAAATTGTTTTGTGTTGGTATGAGACCATGTACCTGTTCGTCTTGGGGAGTACTAACAGCTTGTGATGGAGTTTTGGTATGGGTGATGGTGGATTGGCCGGAATTGGAGATAAAACCGTACGTGTGTATGGTTTTTAGAACCTAAATTTCACCATGATTTTTGATGTGTTTTGGTTGATTCTTGGTATAGGATTGTGGAGGGGGATGACGAGGTGTTGGTGGTGTAAAAGTTCAGTGGTTTATTCGACAGTAGTGTGGTCGATTTTGGCTTTGAATCCATCGACGCCGGAGAAAAAAGCTGGAAGGGAGGAAAAAATTGTTTAAAGAGTGATTTGGTCCTCAAAATTTTATTTTCACGTGTTTTGGTTCTTCAAGTTTGAATGAAAAGCACAATGGGCATCCAGTGACCATTTCTGAAATAAAACGTAACTTCAGTGACCATTGCTGCAAGTTTTAAACTTCAATGACAGTTTTGAGATTTTCGATTAAGTTCAGTGACCGTTTGTGAAACTAACCCAATGGACAAATGAATTATTATTTGACAATCATTATTTGAAAACTTTTTTTATATACTCATTTTCGTTTGAATATTCACATAACTAAATATTACATACGTAAAATCAAATTTTTTTCTACTTTTTAACCACACATTCTTCTAAAAAATCACTATACAAAATATTATTTTAGCCAAATAATGGCCATCAAACATGAACCAAGTGTTTTTCTCTATTTTAAAGAAAATTTTAGGGAGAAATCATAATTAGGAACAATTTATGTTAATTCAAGATTAAGAATGTGAAGAAAAAATGTTTGAGACATAAATATAATAATGTATAAAGATTATTAAATTTTATACCATTAAAATGTAGTCTAACTATTAAAAACTGTGGTAACAATATAAAAATTCAAGATAAAAAGTAAAAATATTGACAAGGAGTTAAAGAGCAATAAGGTGGTGATTCAGAACAAATTCAATTTGTTTGAGCTCCATTTTTTGAAAAATATGTTTTGTAATAGTGAATTTTTTTAAGAATAAACAACTAAAAAGTAGGAAAAATTTTGAATTTACGTATAAAATTATTTTATTAAAAAAAACTTGTGATTAAAAATGAATTTGAGAAAAATGAGTTTATATAAAAACAAGGGCAAAAATTGTCTCGAATTTGGCAAAATGTTTGAATTATTGTTATAACCTTGTTGCATCTTGAATGGAGAAAATTTAAGTTCGCTTTGTTAGTCATTTTTAATTTTTTCTAAGTCATTTTAACCATATATTTTCAAAATGAATAATGTTATTTACATTGTCTCACCGTCATAGTTGCCATATATGACATACATGTGACGATTAGTGATTTGATATATTAATGTGGTAATTTTTTATTACCTTATGTAACAAATAACTGACCGTCACATGTATGTCACGTAGAACGATTGGGATAGTGAGCGATTGCAAATAATGTTATTCTTTCAAAAATAAAGCCCTAGTTTTGATTCCAGTAAATGTACTGTTGGGGAAAAATATTTTTTCAAATAGTGATTTTTTAAAGAATGTGTGATTAAAAAAGAAGGAATTTTTTTTGATTTACGTGTAATATTATTTTATTGAAAAATGTGTGGTTAAAAAGAGGAAAGAAAATGCATTTTGGATAAAATGAAATCCGAACTAGAGCAAAATAATTTATACGTAAATCCAAAAAAAAAAATCCTATTTTTAACGGAACATTCTCCAAAAATTTACTATTTCAAAACTTATTTTTCAATTCAATGGTAGACAAACATAGGCTTAGGCTTAGTATGAATTGTTTAGGAAATAGATAATGATTTTCTTGGTGCAGCGTTTGGCCGTTAGATATGATATTAGTGGGGTTTGGTGAACAACTAGAAAGAAATTGTTGGGGTTATCGAGTGATTAGTGCTGGTTTGATCCAATGGACATGGATTTTTAAATTTTAACTTAAACTATGTTTTTACCTATAAAGTAGTCGATTTGTTTCCACTATGATCGATAAAATCTTTTTTTATTTTAGTACAGTCAGCCTTTCGAACTAATTTTTAGTAAAAAATCAAAATCAAAATCTACTTCACAACTAGAAGTTAGCCTAAAATAAGTGTTTAGCCCCTGGTTGGGCCATATTATTTAGGAAATTTGTAGAAATTTTGTTACCATTGCTTATCTAGCTGGACCCCGTACGTGTGTGTTGAAATCAAGAATTGTGGGCTGATTTTACGATTAACGGTCACATTTCTTCTACAAATGATGAAAAAAATATGGCCCAAACAAGGACTTAGAGTTTAAACGTGAGTTTGACAGTCTTTATAAACATTGTGTTTGGATCTTCATATTTAGAGAGTAAAAATCGTACTTTTTTTTATTCTATAATGATTGCATTTAGTCCATGTTTGATTTATCTAAAAATTGGGTCTTCAATAAATTTTGATTAAAGGCATAAATCACATGAAACGTGTGTTTGAAAATAAATTTACAAAAAAAATTAGAAAAAAGAGATCGATCAATGACTTAATAAGTAGCATATTCAATACTTTATTTCTCAAATAGAGTTCAATTACATATATTAATGCTCTACTTCTCAAATTATTATATTCATAATTGAATCGATTGACCATTGACAACTAGAAAATTGTTATGTAAAGAATGAAGGGAAATAATAAATGGTCATTGAAAAAATAAAGTAAAGAGCCCAAAAATTGTTAAATATAAAGAGTTAATTGTAGTACTTAAAAATTTTTACTCTGTAAATTACACAATATGCTTTTTAAAAATAGTGAATCTCTTAAAAATTCTCTAAGGATGAAAAAACAAGAATTAACCTGTTTGGATAGGGTTAATTCCAGGGTCAAAAACAAGGCGTGGACTTCACCTTGGCCGTCTAGCAAGGTTGGAAAAAAAATTGAAGGTTTTTCCCTTACTAGCTAGCACGGTCGAATATATGGGCTTCTCATTACTTCTCAATTCCAAAAATCAACCTAATAAAACAAAATTCGTTTATTACTTAGAGATTGGACTGTACATCATGGAGCCAAAATGTCATGTGGAAATTGCACAAATCCAAGGATTTAAACATCACAATTCAAAGATCAGAGTTGAAATTTCATTATGCAAAATTCAGGTATTGATTTAATAATTTAAATATTTATATTTCACCCAATTCATCAATTTTGTAATCCCTAATAAGTTTATCGTGCGTTTTCTCTCTTTACCATCTCTATACACTATACTCTCCCTCACTCTATCATAAAACGCCACCGTCGATGGCAATTCACGATGGCGACATGATCACGAGGACGGCGACATGGCACCTTTGGTGTCAAGGAAAGGCATCGGAGATGCAGCAATCGACTCCAGCTCTGGCGCCTCTACTCGCGGATCCTTAGTTTCGTCGGTACACAGATCGGGCGATTCGTAGTTTTCACCGACGCCGTTACTTTTGCTTGGACCACTGCTTCTCTCTGCTCACGATGGCGAAGCAGATCCATCAAGCTACTATACTTTCCCTTCTCGAGTTGCGATGATGAAATCACACCGCGAAGAAGACCACCCACTCCGGTGTTGTGGGTTTGGATGATGATTTGTGTGGTATTGGTGATTGACTGATTGTGTTTGTGTGGTGGCGGTTTGCGGTGGTGGTGATGGCGGTGGTGTGTTTTTGTATGAGTTCACGACTCGGTCAATCCCTTAGCTGTGTTGATGTGGTGGTGGTGGTGTGGTGTGCAAGTTGCTGGTTTGTGTTGATTGCGGTGTGTCCTTTTTGTTGGTGGTGGTACATTGTTGGGGGGTGGTGATGGTGGTGGTGTCAGCGGCGAGATGGTGTTGACAATTGTGTGGTGTTGTGGTGTGGTGCAGTTAGTCATCGTGCTTTGGTGGTCGTTTTGGTTGTTGGTCGTGGTCGTGTTGTGACTGGGCGGGTGTAATACTGATCGTGACCATCTATTTGGTTGCTCTATGACCAAGTGTTGGTAGTGGATTGGGATCGGAGGTGGAGCGTTTG